TTTTTCAATATCGGCACCAATATGCAATACCAGTATCAATATCTGTTCATCCCTGATAAATATAAAACATAACAACCATTTTCATGTCAGCAAGTTAAAGGGCACTGTACCTGATTTTCTTCAAAGGATATGAACCAATTTCCTTGCCCCAGTTCAGATCTATTGAATAAGAGATCAAAATAAGTCTGCTGTGCGCTGTCTGCATCCAATTACAAAGAGTTTTGTTGCCTGATAATCAGTAAGTGTGTAATTAGCAGGCTAGTTGTTTTTAAGACAACTAGGTATGGTGCTTTTAAAATGTCAAAACAGATCTGATATTCTGTTGTTGTCTAGTTAATGTATAAGTTGGTGCCAAGACAAAGTAGATATGATCCCTCTTCCAAATGTCTAATTTTTTTAAAGCCTCCAGAGATTTGGGTTTTTAAGCAGCTCAGCCCTTAATGGACACGGAGCTTCCAGGAAATGCGCGCTCGATTGCCTTTTAAGGATTTGAGATATAAAGTACTGTTTCTAGGCTTCTTCTCTTGGCACATTAGTGGGTCTTTCAAAACACACTTTCGTCAAAAACTGCACTGTCCTAATGTGATGGTGAGAGAGAAAATGTACTGGACTAATAAAAAGAATTATGATGTTTATCTCAAATATATGTTTTGGTTTTCCCCCATTCTTTTTATTTTTTGTCTAGAGATGTTGAAATAATTGAGTGAATGTAATGGAATATTTTGGCACTTTTGTCTGAGGTTTGAAATGGGTTCAATTAGACTTGGACAAGGCCATGTAGTAGTACTCAAAGCAGCATAATTAAAGATGCTATATTACATATAATTGACTCTTGTGAGCTTTTAGCCATGTTATAATGTTTTTACCTCATCAAAAACATGCCTGGAGTTGTTTTGTTTCATTCACACATGTTTGAGTAATTCTTTATTATTAGTCTTGTCTACATCTCTGAAGCTCAAAATGCTCTGTTCTACCTTGTGATGTCATGAAATGATAGGTTTCAGGTTAACAGCTACCTTTAACCTGTTGTTTAGTTGAGATGGGCAAGTCCAGGGCTGAAATCATCCAAATTCTAGGTGTATGGAATTTAGAAACACAATGGAGCACTTCCTATATTACCACATGATATCACAAGGTGGAAGAGAGTGCTTTCTGAAGAATTTAGCCTAAATGTGGAGGATTTGTGAGTTGATCATGCATTAACAACTCCAGGGATGTTTTTGATGGGGAAACATTATAACATAGATCAGAAAATAGTGTAATATGTGCCCTTTAACAACCATACATCAAAATCACAAATGAACTTTGCTGACAAGGTGCACTATGCAGTTTGTCTAGTGGAGGGTATGAGATGTTTGCACTTTGCCTCAAAAGTTCAACATTATGACATTAAATTGGTCTATCTCATGTATGTATTGTGCAAAAGTACTTAACAATTTGCAGTTTTACTCTGAGTGGGGTCACCTCTCCACAGATCTGATCTGTAACTTGGCCTGGTGGCTTTACTTGCCACAAAAGTGGCAGAGAGTACACACTGAAATTAAGCTCTTTGTAGCTGCTCATAGTTTTCCAAAATTTGAAATCTTTTAGTTTTTTTAGTTTTTTGTTTTTAGTGACCACTTGTGTTTATTTACATTACCACAGATGGTCAAGAGGCATAAGCAATTTTGTCTGCCAGCAATATACTCCTTAATATATGTTTCTGTTTGCACCCTTTTCCTGTATGATACTTGTGTGGGCAACTTGTAGGCAAAACAAGCTTCCCAACACATTTTTAAAAAGTTACTTGTGTGGGAAAAAAAAGGAAGCTGAAATCTTGGCCCAGAACAGTCTTTGAAATTAGGTCTTGAATCCATCAGATGTATTACTATGGAGGAACCCTCTCCACTCTCGGTAAATGCCCTGTTTATCCCAAAGCTTTTTATAGCAACAGATGAAGAAGAAATTCCTTGTATCTCCTGCTACTTTTCACTAGGTTTTCTGGGTCGAAGAAGCACCAATCATCACTCACCTCTGCATCCATTACCATAACGTGGTTCTAGCTCACTTTGTCAATGCGGATTTGGCCATAACCTCTTTCCATACTTGGAGATGAGCAGATCTAGGAGTAAAGATTGATTAGACCCATCAAACTCAGTGGTCTTCTATGTAATGAGCAGTCTCCATGGATTCGTTTAGATAGCAATGTTTCCACAAGAGGATACCCTGAGGTCCCTCGGCTAGCTCCTCAGCCTAGCATAGTCCAGCTTGGCACATGAGAAGACCATTTGTCAAAAAATTAAATGAGGATGACCTGAGACAGATACTTAGAAGTACCCAAAGACAAGGAGATCTTCAGATAGATAGATCTTGTTAGCAATGTTCTGGCCACTATGAGCAATTGTTATTCCATAGTATTGTTGAATGAAGTAAAAAAACATAATAGTAACACTGTATAAGGATGCACCGATACCGACATTGAAAAAAATAGCTGAATTAAGCATAGATTCCTTGATATCGGTTTAACAAATATCCTGGCTGGGACTCTAATTGAATGTAATAAGAATATTTAAAGACTGATTTTGGCCTGAAACATCTCCTAATGTTTGAATTTTATTCATATGAAGCTGTTCAGTAGTAGGAGAAATAACAGTTGCATAACACTACTGGACCTCTGTGTTTCAAGGAAATAAGTGCCATTTTCAGTCCCCACACTGGTATCAGTTCATATCGGCTATTGGCAAATGAAGTCAAAGTATCAATATTGGTACTGGCTCTGAAAAAGCTGGATTGTGCATATTTAACACTATACTAACATAACCATATAACTCGTATATGGTGTAGTATAAGAAGTATGGAATGGTAGTGTATGCTTTTATTTGTAAAGGGACAGTGCACAACAGCAATACATTTATCAATACAAAAGTCATAGGAGAGTTACTGGTGCCAGGTTATAGCAGGAATACTAATTTATACCTGTAGTCCCTGAGCAGGTTGGTGAAAATACAGATTCAGTGTATATAGATAAATTGATCACAAATAAATAAAACTGATATTACCCAGGGTCACATTGGTCAAATACTGTTCTAAAAACAACATACAGCCAAATGCAAGGATTCTCCATTCTAATAATCATTTAAATCACATGATTCCCTAATATGTACAAACTTGTTTAGAGATGAGCCACTTCTTTGTCAGATGTGCAAACATCTGAAAACCTGTGCAGGTTAGAATCTCTGTTGGCAAATTATTCCAATGACTCACACAGCAGGAACAGAGGAAGACGCTGCTTTTGAGTGTGGTCGAACATTTGGGGACATGCACTCTCCTCTGGAGGAAGAGCACGTTACTCAAGATGTTTTTTTTTTTGGAGCAGAGTGAGGAAAAAACCTTTCAGAGGAGCAGCACCATGAAGAATTTTTAATTGTAGTAATAGCGATGGTGATTGTAATTGCTGTAGAATAAAATGTAAAGTTGGAGTAGTTTGTGTTCACCTGATATCATAACATTCTACTAAATTCTATGGTATAAATGTAATTTTGAAGTGTCAGAGTGCAGATGTTTAGTTCTGGTTTATGGCCAGTATCTCTGTAATTACTGGACCTGGATTTGCATAAAACAAACTGCCACAAAGTTCAGTCTCTTCTGTATCAGCATCATTACACAGATATGAAATGAAATACATTTTTTCCACTATAGCTTCAGAAAATGCTGTCATTATTCAAACACTGAAAGAACTAGACCAAAATTATGTATGACATGTTTGTGAAGCTAAACAAATAATGATGAGGTTAAATATATGCGGACCATAAGTCTGAGTGTTTTTCAAAAAAAACAAAAAAAAAAAAAAACACTTAATTTCCATAATGTAATATAGGTCCTGGCTCTCTGTCTGAAATTGTGAATTCTACAAAGTGAAAACAGTCTTTATTAGCAGAAGTATCATATCACAGAGCAATTAATGTTAGGCTAACATAATACTTTAAGCTTCTTGCACATGTTTTCCAGTGTGTTTTTACAATACAGTGATAAAAAATAAACTAACCAATATAGTAGTAATGGTCTTGATACTGGCAGAGTGTGGTATTGACATTGTAAACCTTTGGCTTAGTTACATACAGTGTACTTTATATCTCAAATCTATGAATACACTCAAATGTACTTTAAGATGTTATATGTTAAGTCCATAGGCACCTCTGTGCTGTGTATTAGCATTACTTGATGGGGGTTAAATATAAGCTGGAGGTCCCTGGTGGCAGTGACAGCACTGGGCAATGCAGTCTACTCATTCTTCATCCCATTCATTAATAATGATAGCTCTCTAATTAGCCACAAAGACTCAGGCAAAGCGACAGGGAGAGGAGCTAGTTTAACATGCACAATGGAAAAGTACTGATTGTGCAAAACAAAATAATGACCATCGAAAGTAAGGATTTGAGTAGAGACAATGCAGTTTTCTTAATTTAACAAGGTAAGCATGTATTGATTCCATTTATTGCACTATAAAGAGAGGTGCAGAGAGGTTTGTGGTGCTGTTTTGTAGTAGGAATGGCAATAGCAGAAGCAGATTAGATCAAAGTAGCAGAAATTGTAGCAGTAGTAGTAGTAGTAGTAGGATAGGGGTAGTAGTAGTAGAGGTAGTAATTATAGTAGCAGTTGTTGCTCTTGTTGTTGTAGAAATTGTAATAATAGTTGTGGTAACAGTAACAATCATAATTTTAGATTGGAGTAATATTTTTAGATAAGTGAAGTAGTGGAAGTAGTAGTAACTATAATACTTGGTTGGAGTAGTATTTTTAATTTACTTATTGTCAAAATGATTTAGCCTAAGTATATATTTAATATGAATGTACCCTATAGCCTCATATTTGTGATCGAAATATGTGTAATGAATTTCATAGTAGTTTTTGTACACATCAGAATACCACTGTACACACTAAGTATTGTCTGGATATATTACAATACAGTGCAGTGAAGTGTATTGTGATTCCAGTATGATTTAGCAGTGTAGTCTGTTGTTCTTACCATGCGGTGGAGGTGTTGTGAGGCAGCAGTGTGGGGCTATGGCTCTCCCCCCTCAAGCTGTGTCTGTGCTGGTAGTGCCCGGGGCCCATGGGCTGCACAGGGGCCGGGGCTTCACTCTCCTCTGGTATGGAGCGATGCCACTGACTACGTGCCTTCTTCAGCCATCGGCCACCCAATCCCCACTTCTCCAGGTACACCCGGCACAGCTCGTAGTTTATGGCCGAGTAGTACAGGAAGTCCAGAGCTAGCAGCACCATGACGAAGAAGCCGTAGATCCACACTCCCACCAGCGCTGTGTAATTACTGTAGAGGAGACAGACAGTTAGCGCACACAAACAGTTAGGGCACAGAGTTAGCACACTGAATTAGCGCGCACAGGCTAATCTGGGAAAACAATGGCCAAATGTGCACACGAGGAGCCATCCGGACACACTTAAGCCCCGCTTCAAACACCAACTGGTACGAGAAAGCCGCCATGTGTCGATGTTTTTTACTGCTGAAAAAGATCAGAGTTTGATTTTCTTTTTTCTTTTTTAATAAGAATAATATTAAGATCAGTCTTTCAAGTTGCTTTTTTGTCGAATTTTATGTCAAATTTCAAAGTGCTATTTGGTAAACTATATAGTTTGCAATTAGATTTTGGATTTATGTTGTAAACTGAACATTCAACTCAAAGTGCTCATTTTAAACACCCAGAAACATCTACATTTGAAAATTGAAATATGAACTACTACAAGATTAACAGTATGTTTGTCCTCACATGGCCATACCTGTTTATGCCTTATCTATTGTCTTGGTTCCTATTTGCATCGGAGACCTCTGGGAATATTTCATAGTAGTTTTTGTGCACATCAGAATACCACTGTACGCTGTAAATATTGACTGTATATATTATAATACAGTCCCCAGCACTGAAGTGTATTGTGATTCTAATAAGATTTAGCAGTGTTCAGTCTGTTGTTTCTGCCATGCGCTGAAGGTGTTGTGAGGCAGTACTCTTGAACTTATGCCTTATCTCTTGTCTTGTCTTGGTTAGTACTTGGACAGAAGACCTCTGGGAATACCAAATGTCACAGTGGGGGAGCAATGGCTCAGTGCAAACTGTCATTGTGTCCTTAGGTAAGGCACTTAACCCACATTGCCTAGTAAGAATGTAGTGTATGCATTATTGGTGGTACACATATCCACCCTTGCTTCCGTCAGTCTACCCCAGGGCAGCTGTGGCTATAATAGCAATTTAACACCACTGAGTATGGAGAGAATGAATAATGTACTAAAGCATTCAAAACACACTATATAAATCACATGCATTTTTGTACAGGTGTAAAAAGGCAGTTTTAACATAATAAGACCCCACTGAGATATTTTATTGTTTGCAGAGGCAGTGACACAGCAAATGATTGCAGCCGTTGCTAATTCTTGTCTTCTGATTTTAATTCTGACTGAAATGATTTTGCATTGGAAGGAACATGACTCTGATTAATATACATGCAAAATCATTAAACATTAAACATATGCCCACTTCCTTGAAACTAAAACACTCCAAACTATACACAGACTATACATACATATACTAGCTGAGTTACAGTGTTATAGTATGAATAATAGTTGAAGAACAGTGATAAATCCATCATTTGTCCACCAAGTTTTCCCCTGCTGTGCCTTCTTTGGCTAAAAGAGCAGAGACCTTTACCAAAATCTCCCTTGACAAATTCATGTTAAAATAAATATTTAAACAAAACCATCTGTTCACTTTGCTGCACTTACATGGTTGGAGTTAATTTGGACAAAGATTTTTAATCCCTCTTGCCTTTGAAAATCTGTGCTCCTCCTTGTTTAAAGTCTTAAAACATTTTGTCATGTTTTACACAGTTTAAGACACCCACAGTACAACTTTACTTTAGTCAAACTACAAATTCCAGGAAGTTCAAACTGCTTTATTAGACAGCCAGCTAAAATAAGGTACCATCCGTGTTTATATAGAGTAGACTGGGGACATTTAGAGACTGCACAGATGGCTCAGAGCTGCCTAGGAGTACTCTGCTAAATGCACTTACAGACAATTACATAACGCACATTATTTTTAATTCATTCAATGTCGTCAATACATTTAAGTGGTATAATCAAAGCTGTGAGGTTTATATAATTATAGAGCCATTAAATATGCACTTTAGCAGTTTATTTACACATTATCAGATTTCCTGGTAGACACTTGAGTTCATTTGACAATTTTCACTTTCAGGTTTCATTGTTGTAGACATAATGTTAAAAACTTTTACTATTTTAAGCTGCTCTGAATACAAATCCACAAAATGAAATGTGTGCACTGCAAACTGGTAATCGAACATAAATAAAAATTCCTTGAGTTGAGCAGTAAATCTGGATTTGAGTTTATTTTGACTATAGTCGAGATCAGCGGTTTCAAAGTGGGGTCTTGAGGTGCTGAGATGGAAGTTGTGATGTAATTCTTTTAAAATAAATACAACTGAAAAAGAAAATGTGAAATTCAGTCTAATAGCACAAAAACAAATGATTTTAAAATCACTTTTGCCCCTTGAAATTATTATGGGCATGAATTTCAACTTCCAAGGTCTTTTTTTGATTGATTACATGATTATATTATAAGATTGGCCAACGTAACAAAATACAGCACTTAAAATAAAATATCTGCAATTACAATTAGCATTTTCATGAGGGGAAAATGTTATTCCACTCAAATTATGAAACTCTAGCATTAAATAATAAAAGACTCAAAGATAAAAGACTTCTATAACGTAAACAATGGGATGTAATCTTGTTTGTCATTTCACTCTATGGCCTTTGGTAATTTTCAAGCCTAAGGTCTCATCTCGGTGTGTCTCTTCTCTGTCTCTGAAAGTGAAATAGCAGCCCCCGCTTTAGGCAGAGTGAACCAGGCCAGCACTGATGCATGCTGGGAGGGCATCACTACAAAGAGCATACTTAGGTCGCCCCTGTCATACTGGGGACCCTGCAGCTTATGAGGCTCACTGACCTGCTTATCTTGTCAAGACCATTACAACACAAACCTCTGACAAATAGATACATAAATTATCATATATAGCCTCTAACAAAATGTGAATATTCATTGTACAACTCTGAATTATGGAATAGGGGTGTCATGATTATTTGATTGGCTACATACACAGGGAAAGCGCACTAAACAACCAAATTCAAACTATCTTTGCCCTAAAATTCGTCAGACCAGTCTTCATGCAGGGACTGTGAGGTGTTCAGGGGTGTCTAGTAATTTAACATTGGCACTAACACTTATATAATTGCTAAAATAACTATCATACATAGTCTATCACCACACATTTGGTAGAAATAGATAAGGAACATTTCATTTACGTTGAGCATTTGATTTTCAGACATACTACAAACTGCATTACTCACAAGTTATTTGCTCTTCACCCCACAGTAAGTACAATGGAGTTTACTTTCACTTTAACGTAGCTGAGCAAAACAAAACAACATGTGCATGTCTGCGGTGGAGGGACTATAGTTTAAAATCAATGAGTAGGTGTCTAAGCACACATCTAATATGTGTCTGGCTGTTTCTTACCCCATGCACTTGAACGCCTCTTCGAGTGTACCCTTAATGTAGTGTCTGTGTGGTAACTTACCATAAATTCAAAAATATGTGGTGACTTACCACAAAAAACTTGACTATTCCCTATTATGTTTTGCAAACTACAGTAACTAATGAGGAAGATAATTTCTGCTAAATTTTACTGGAATTTTTTGCTGTAACTTTGTGAGAAATTACTACAAAGGCTAAAAGTGATCCTGATTATTCAGGCCACATTAAATCATAAGAAAATCATGACAATTTCAGAAGGAAAAATATGTAATTTCAGTTCAAACTTGGAAAAAGTTAACTAAACTAACTGACTATTACTGTCATATTAACCCTACTTCATTAATAAAGTTTGCTTTGCTTTGAATGAAAAAACAAAAACAACCAATACTTCACTGTTGTTTGATCATGGTGTGAATTGTAGACACAATATAGTTAAAAAAATATGTGATGTTGTGACATTCTTAATTAGGAAGTATTTTTTTTGTTGTTGTTGTTAAATTATTGTTGTTAGCTGGTTCACCGTTGTAAATCGCTTTATGTGAGCGTTAGTCTTTTGCAGATGTGTATGTGGATGACAGGGTTTCAATATTGTAAATACAAATCAAGCAGATGTATTTGTAAAGCAGTACATACAGTGATGATATGAGATGTGACACCTGCCTCAGAGAAGAACCATGTGGACTCACCCACTCACAACAACTGCTACTGCTTCAGCATCTGCTCCTCTCTCTCTTTCTCTCTGATTCTCTCTCTATGTGTCTCTTTATCTCTCTGTAACGTTCTTACTCTTTCTCTATTCCTGTTTAGTTACTGTGCAATATGGTGTGTATCTGTGAACGTAGTCTTTTGTCACTTTTCATTCTCTTTCTCTGTCCCTCCATCTTTATGTCCTCCCTCTCTCTTATTGTCTTTCTCTATCACCTGTGCTCTCTCCCTCTCTGATTCCTTCTCTTTCTCTCTCAATTGTTTTCTCTCTCTTCTCTCTGTCTGTCTGTCCCTCCATCCATCCTTTCACACTCTCTTGCCTGTCCTCCCTCTCTCTTTCCTTTCACCCTTCCTCTCTCAATTGTTCTGCTGCTCTCTCTCACTCTTTTCAACCTCTCCTCCCTACCCCTACTCTCTCTCTCTCTCTCTCTGCTCTCTCTCTCTTTTTCTCTCTCTTACTACTACTCCCTCTTTCGTCTGTATCCCTCTTGCTCTCTCTCACTGTTTTTCAACCTCTCCTCCCTACCCCTTCTCCTCTTGCCTCTTCACTCCTCCTCTCTCTCTGTCCTTCTCTGTTTGTCTCTCTCTGTACTTCTCTCTCTCCCATTTGCTTTTCCTCTGCTCTATCCTTCTCTATATCTCCATCTCCTCTCTCTTCATTCTTCTCCAGTTCTTTCTCCCTCTTTGTCCCACTCCTCCCACTCTCCCTCTCTCCTTGTACGTGGAGGTGTGGTGTAGATCCATGTCAGTTGGGCCTTGCAGCTAAAGACAACAAGCTGTGTCAATGAGTCTGACAGAACACAGATCCGCCACTGACACCACAGACCCAGAGCCAAGAGCCGTACATCTGAGGAGGCATCTCGCAAAAGCTCCACCAGTGTTTTATTAAAGGTGACGACAACTACAGTTAAAGGGCTCATATTATGCTATATTATGTTATGATCAATGTTATAATGTTGTTTCCGCATCAAAAGCATACCCAAGGTTGTGTTTTGTTTTATTCTCACATGTTTAAAGGGACAGTCTGGAACTTTGGACATAGGACCTTATTTCCTAGTTAGTCAGAGTGCTGGAGACGTGTGGAGATTACATCCAGCAGCAGCGAGTTATACTTCCTGATAGAAAGCTGTGCAGAGGCGGACTGATATCACCTATCTTACCGGCAAAGTAAAATTCCGCTGCTGCTGAGAAAATAGTTCATCTGACGATTCATGCAATGCAAGGTTAGTGCAACATTATTCTATCAACACAGACATTCACATCGACAGTCTGGTGTAATAATAGATTTGCTTTGGGTGTTTTGTGGAGAGGGTAAGACTGTTTTTGGCAGCAGGCTAACTATGGCCATTGACATGCACTAGCCTAGCACCAGTGACCTCTGCAAATACAAGGACTGGATGGAATATTTTAAAAAGTGTCTCCACATGTCTCCAACACTCTGGCTCACTAGGAATTGAGGTCCTCTGTCCAAAATTCTGAAATGTCCCTTTAACACAAAAACTCTGGATATTTAAGCTGAATTCTTCTTTGAAACGGACAACACCCTGTTCCACCTTCTGATGTCATGTCGTAAAACAGAGAAGTGCTCTTCATACACTTTCACTAATTTGGATGACTTCAGCCCTGGACTTGCCAGTCTCTACTGAACAAAGATTAGGTAACAACTTTATAACATGGCTTAAAGCTCACAAGAGTCAATTTTGTACAAAATATAGGACCTCAATTTTATCTATAACGTACACAGATCAGTATTTAGCATTTTTCACTGTAAACCTCAAAATTGAGCTAAAACAGCTTCATAAAGAAACTGATTCTCTGACTATATTCAAAACATCAAAACTGATAGGATCTTCAGAGTCATTTATTTGACAGTAACAGTTCATTTACTGTATATGCAGCTGATTTTCATTCACTTGTTTTTATTATTGAAAAATTGCTAAATGACCATTTTTGAACCCTGCAGGTATGACCCAGATCTTGAATTTTTGAGAAATAAAAAGTAAGTACAGGGAAGTGTGGATGGGAGGAAAGTGAAAACGGATATTTTCTGGAAACTCAAACCTCAAATGTAGGACAACATCGGATTATTAAAACGTGCATGAATCGAGGTAATTATGAGGGAGCTCTATCAAAACATGGTTAAAAGCTCAAAAAAGTTAATTTCACATGATATGTCCCTTTTAATTGCAACTGTAACTACCAAGGAGCTGTTGTTTTAGTCAGAAATTGTCCTCTGTTTAGCATATAGATTTATGTCATTAGTTGCCTTTGCCTAGCCTATGCACGGTCCAGAATGATGAAAAATTAGGATAGTTTCCATAGCCACAATTGAACAATTTAAAACAACAAACAAACAAAAACAATGTTATAACTTTTGAATGGGAAAATGCCTTAAAAATGTTGCATATAACAGGACACTAAAACACCAGGAATATACTAAATATGTTATATATTGTGCCGTTTAATTTTAGTATTTAGGATTGTTACAGCAAACCAAATAAAATGGGGATATTGTGGATAGTTCCAGTTTTTACAAAAATAAGTTAGAAAAGTAGTTGGCAAACTTTGTGAAGCCAGAAACTATTACCATATTTGGAAGGTCACATTCTCATAATTAGCTGTACCGTTATGCAAGAAACTATTTCTGACAAGTTTTACACTATTCATGAACAACAACCTGAAAAATAAAAATGACCCAAATAGCTACCCCAAAAAGATCCTATTATGGTAATGAGTTTAAGTTTAATTCCTATAAACTTGCCTTGCCATGATTTTTATAGTAACTAAATGGCTTCAGCTTTGTACAGTTTATGAATGATTTGTAAATTAACCTCCCCAGTTTCCTATTGTATGAAATTAATTGTAAAATTGAATGGCAATGGAACACAAATAAAGGGTAACATTTTTGGAGGCAGGCATTTCATTCTCATGTCTCCATGATGATGGTGAGTTAAAACCACTTTGGAACTTTTGAGACAGATCAACACCTCAAAGGAGACAAGCAAGTGATGTGTCTGCAATCAGTCCAAGTTACGAGTCAGGTCTGCAGTGAGGTGAGAGCACTATTTTTGAGCAATAAAAACAGCTGTAATGTCAGTCACGCTTTTTAAAAAATTTTGTTATTTGATAGAAATGTGACAGCACTTCTCCTACAATTGGGCGCTCGAAACCTTTGCCATTTTTATTTGACATGATTATTTCAGTAGTTGACTAATCAGTGTTGACTATAATTATTTGTACAGTTTTTAACCAACTGAATGGTGAATGAATGCTGCTAGTTAGAGAATATTTATTGATGACAAATTTCTTTTCTTTTTTAATGCTACAGTGCTTGTTAAAAGATGGTTACATTTTTATACAGTGCTCCTCCACCTTCAAGGCGCTCAAAGCTCTTTACATTAAGGAACCGCTCACCCATCACACAAGGGGGGTTAAGTGTCTTGCTCTAGGACACAACAGCATTTATCTGTTGGACCTGGAATCGCACTGCCAACCTGTGGGTCAGTGGATTGCTCTTCCAATGATGTTTAGGTCGAGCGCACGATTCAAACCAACAACCTTTGGATCAGTGGACCAACGCTCTACCAACTGAGCTGTTGTCGCCCAGATGATCTTTTGTCATGTGTTTTGGAGCGTGCAGTCCAGATAATGACTAATGATTATTCGATTAATCCTTCCAGCTTTATTTAACATCAAGGAAGCATTCACGCAATCACACAAACATTTATGCAATGCTCTTAGAAATCTGTGGCACGGTGTCTTGCCGCAGGACACAACAACAGCATGGGACTGAACCACCAACCCTTTAGCTTTATGATTGTTCACTATACCTCTTGAGCTTACTCCCGCCCACAGGCTTACTTAACTTTTGCCCTTTACAGAGGAGGCGTACTGCAGTGAAATGTAAGCGGATCACTCACTTGTGTGCGTATCCGTCGGAGGAGTTGGTGAGGTTGACCTGCATGATCACCTGGAACTCTGTCTCATTGCAGCAGTACTTGAAGGGCGTGTTGTTGTGATGGCAACAGTACATGTACGCCTTGTTGTCCGAAAGCCGCGGGCAGTGGAAGCCGAAGTGATAGCGCCCCTTGTGGTCAGAGTAGGGTTCACACACTCGGAAATGTGCTGATAAAGCTGCAATAGAGAAATAGAGAATAGATTTAGGAGATCAGGTACAGACACTGGGATAAACTGCATCCTAATCAGAGTTAAAGGTGCACTATGTAACGTTTTGATTGGGGGTTCGTTACCTGCTTCTGTGGATATGTCATTACTCTGCCTGGACCGTTCTACAGTATGACAGTTCTACTTTACATTTATTAAATTATAGGTAGTTTCATAGCTCAAAAATCAATAAAACAGGGATTGTGTCTGTGAGCAGGTTTGTCTCTCCACATATCTGACCTGTAACTTGGACTGCTTCGGTCTCGATGAAGATAGAAATGTTTAATACCAAAGCAAAAACATCTCCATGAAGAAAATCATGACAGACCCTTCACCAGAAAAGTGACAGAATACACATTTAAGTTCTCTTTCTCTCCAGCATCCAGCATCTTGCCTGATAGAAGATCAGACATAGACATAAACTGCATCCATGTAAGGGCAAAATTTTCTTTCGCTCTATGTTGAACTATGACAGAGAAACAACTGTCTAATAGTCAAAAGCAGTCAGTTCCATATGGTTTTCATCCAGCAACATGCCTATTAGACTATAATGAGTGTCCCAGGCAGTTGCTTCCATATGGTTCACATCCAACAGAATTTGTAATGCATAGCATGTCAAATCTGTCACATTTTTGTCTCAAGTGTTTGATTTTATTATAAGCTGTATGACTGAAAGGGCAGTCTGAACTTGAAGAAATAAAAACTAAGCTTGGTCTGGGGTAAGAACTGAATCAAATCTACAAATTCTAATACTCAACATCGTAAGTGCCATTTTGCGGACTGTTCAAATAGCTCCACGGAGTTGTTATTGCTTTGTTTTAAATGGTCTGAAATGTCACAATATGGCATTAAACCTTTCTATCATCATGTTGATCAAACCAGGCCAAGTTACTGGTCAGATTTGTGGAGAGGAGACTGCGCTCACAGTCAGGATGCTTGTTTTTCTAGGTATTTTTGAGCAATAAAATCACCTGTAATTCAATAAATGTAAGACAGTCAGTCAGTTTAATGTAATATTGTCGAACATTCAAAGCATAACAATGACACATCCATAGAAATAAGAAGGTGACGGACTTTGAAAAGGTACATAGAGCACCTTTAAAAATGTTAATTACTATGTCAGTGTTCCTCATTTTTAATAACTCTACAACCCATGAATACTGAAACCAGGACTGTTGATATAAACAAGAAAATTGCTTTACATATGGTATGGAAAAGCATGGTTTTACTTCAAAAGTCTTTAAAGGATTGAGAAAGCTGCTAGACAAAGCTTTCACTTGCATATTTGAGTAGAAAATGGTTCTTTTTAACCCAAAGGTATCACACTACGAAAATGCTTCTCTGTGCAGCTCTTTGTAGTCTGTGGAGAGAGTTTTTCAAACAGAATCCGTGTTGTTTTAATGTAGAGGAAGGATATAGAAGAAACTGCATATGAGGCCATCACAGGAGACAGAGTCCAGACACAGGACTGCACTGTCACCTCAATGACAAGAGAATAAAACAGCAATGCACTGGGAATAATAAGGCTAGAAAATGCAGTCTAAGAAAGGAGGTATATTGTATATCATATCAGAAATAAGTTGCTTTAAAGGCAAGGTATGCAGATTTTGTATTTAGATTTTCATAACATGATCTATTGTATCCGCAGATATGAGGTAGATATGTTTGTTACTGATTGCAAAGTTTTAATGTAATAAAAAATGTTAATAAAAAAGGGGTCTAGTTGTTTATGTTTGCATGTTCATGTTTTGGTTCTAAATATGATTGTATAATCGGAATGAGCCTCATATGAGTCTCAAACTGGAGTTGTCAGTTCCAGTGATAAAGGAAATGAATGTAGCCTGTGCTCTTACATTTTTAAAAGATACTACAATACCAATTGAAGCTGGGTTGCCAGTGCCTAAACCTGCAGATAGAGGACACATACATGTTATCTGGATCTGCACTATATGATATGAAAACAAATGATTAAATATAAAATTATTTATATTGGTGACAACTGTGGCACATGCTTTCATGGTAATGAGGTGTGCCACATTTGTGTATCTGGTGAAGATCTGGACCATATGCTGAGAGAAGGAACTGACACTAATGAAGGCACTGGGGTGAAGACAGTGGTCACTAGTGGGGAAACATGGGGTAATACTTTATTTTATCACTACCAATATATTATATATACAGCACAAATATTAACATAAACACAAACAATCATGAAGGTGACGTTAACAATCCACCATTAAACTCAAAAAGAAGAACGAGTGTAGTGTGTCTGAAAGCAGAGTGCTGTACAGGGGGATGAAGGCACCTCCAAGAAGACTTCACAGCGGGTATAGTGTGAGAGGTTAGGAAGAGGGAGGAAGGACTAGTTTGAGAAAGGCCACAGAGTCTTTTTTAACTTTTAACCAAGAGGATTTCAGCATTGAAACTGGCAACTCAAATGTGAGACTTGTGAGGCTTATTTTGCTTTCTGATTGTTGATCAACATCTTGAGAACCAAAACACCAACTTACATAAACAGCATGGTCATCATGCCCAGTGTTTTTGTAATTAAGAATAAATGAGCATTACAACCGGGATCAGTAAAAGCTGTATTTGATTTTGAACATATATCTATGAACATAGCTAGGTCATGTTGATATTTAAAATCAAAATCTTACATAATATACTTCTTTTAAATCTCTGATCTGAATGCTCACTACCTAAACCCCAGCGCCTGCAGCCAATCGTGAACCAGTGCTAGTGTAGCCTCTGCAGCTCAGTGAGTCACTTCTGGAGGTTTTGAGCTTTCACATGAGGCACAGCCTGTCAGTATACAAAAACAATTATATGCAACCAGCCAAAACTTTCTAAAGGCTGTGTGCAGTTTCAAAAAGGGAAAGGATATATTTTGTTTGGCTCAGCCTCACGTAGCAGCTGGGACTCTGTGTGACAATAATAAATTACCAGAGTGCCTAAAATTAATCACAGATAATGACCGGGCCAAACCACCCAAGCCATTTTCTATATTCTATTCAATATTAAATCTGTGATACTTGATTTTTAATATTTTTAAGTAGGCTTTGAACTCCTTCGTTTGTACAATCCAACATCAAGATGCTCCAATTTATACCCGTATACTTTACAGTACCCAGTGTTCTGTTCTTGATTTATGTCCTTTTATCATTTCACCAAAACAAGATGTGAGAGATTTGCCTGGACGAATCCAGACTCATCGCTGTACAGCGGATATGGAGCTGTATAACAAATACAGAGAAATATCCTTCTGGATTTCCAGGCAAGTGAGAGATACACCAGAAAAGATTTTAACTTGGGTGAGTTATCCAATTCCAGTCAGCCTTAAGGAAATTATATTCACACTTAAAGGTACACTATGTAACTTTTTCATTGGGGGACCATCACCTGCTTTTCTCTATAGATATATCATTGCTCTGCTTGGAATGCTTCCACAGTATAACAATAAACAGCTCTACCTTACATTTATTCAATTACAGGTGGTTTTATAGCTCAAAATAACTAGAAAAACAGACATTCTGGCAGTGAGGGGGTTGCCTCTCCACAGATCTGCCCTGTAACTTGGTCTGGTTTGATCTGCATGAAGATAGAAAGGTTTCAGATGAATCAATAACAGTTCCATGGAGAAAAGCCTTTGACAGGACCCTCCACCAGAAAAGTTACACAATGCATCTTTAACAAGTACTAAAGCGCTTCAACATTTTACTTATTATTTGGCTTATTTGGTTTATCATCCTCAGTCAGTACTTTAATGAAACCTTGCCTCTTCAAATGAACTTCACTTCTCTGACTGTCTTTCTTCTTTCCGCTTTGTCTTTATCTCGCTTCTCTTCTCATCTGCGTCTGACAGTTAAGTGTTTGGGCTGAGATTCATTTCAAAGTCCACTTGTGATGTCGCCCAATGATAGATCCATCCAAGTCTCTCACCACTGGGACATCAGCATGAGGAGAGACACCGCTCTCTCAGCTTATAATGAGCAGCCACTGTCGGCCATTTTCCTCCTGACAAGTGTAATATTTCCAGTCCAGGTTAGGCCAGAGAGCAGTCAACCCGGACAGTGGGGGATTAGAACAGAGGAGAAAGGAAAACTACCTATTTGACCTCCACAAATGAATATGACAGAATTTGACGCCTCATTTTGTTGATGAATTATTAAGACTTTGTTCGTGTAAAGGTCAGTTTCTGTTCAATATGTACAAGATGATTAAAATGTACAGTATAGGCAGTGGTGGGCGAGTACTGAAAATGTGTACTCAAGTATAAGTTACGTGATTAAAATGTACTCAATAATAAGTGCTACGGCCAAGTTTGTACTGGGGTATTATGTTTTTTGGGACTTTCTACCATGTTATTATGTTCCCTCATACAAAACATGTCTTTTAGATGTCATTCATGCACGTTTGAGTAATTATGTGATCTGTCCCGGGCCCTATTCGAACCACCCTCTCCAGAACTATACAAAAACAGGATACAAATTGTACACAACAGCTTGACAAACCTGATGCAATGTGCAGTAGTAACATGATAATACTCTGAATTAGGAGTGTCTCAGAGTGTCAAAAACTATATGCTGTTTTTGACAAATATACCATTTTCAAAACAATAAAAGGTATCATGGTATCACCTGTTGTGTTAGCAGTTAATACCCCACTGAAGTAGATTAAAGATAAGTACAAATGAAGTACTATATACTTGTTACAGTTTTATTTGCCTTTTTGATCAGTCTTTTATGCAAAACTTGATTAATTAAACAGTTTAAAGCTATTTAAAGTTGTTTTACCCACCCAATTTGCATATTCTCTGAAGCCTGGCCTATGGGAGCAGGTGATGCAGTTAAGTACAGCAGAGACAACCCTGCCAAATGGGATTTTTGCTATTATCAGTAACTCTGAACTCTTAGCAAGTATTAAAGCAATGAGTTTCCACCTCTGATAGGAAATACTCATTCCAAACACACATTTATAAATAACAGTAATTAAATGTGCTTATGCATAATTTATATCGCTAATTATAACATTATGGAGGCATGGCCCTTTGATCCGGGTGCTAAACTATAACCACAAAGTTATGCCTTTTGTTGGAACATTGCATCAAGATGATACAAACTAATGCAGTAACCACAAGAGGACTGTAGTGACCTCTGACAGGGATCAGAGGGAAACATTACATAATAGTTCAACATAGAGTTACATAACACTGGTACTATTATAGATGCTACTAATGTCATCACTATAATGAGGGAGTTAATATTTTTTCCATGTATTTGAGCAAAATTGGTCTTGCCTAAGTACCGATGTATTAAAAGCAGTTCTTGATGTCAGAGTAAGTCTGCAGTGTACTGTTTATTTATAAAACATTTTCTTGTTGGATAATCAGGAAATGTGTGGTTAGCATGCTAGTTGTTTTTTTGCTTTACCATGATGGCAAAACTCCACCCTGGTCCCTGAAAATTGTGAAAAGTGACTCATGGTGGTTAAAAATTAAGATGAATGATGCATGATGATGATCAAAATGCATGAGGTAAGTGACCACTTTGGACCACTGGGAATTGTTTGAAATGAACTAGAGAGTAAAGTATAAGTACAGTGAAATATAAGTACAAGACCTTTAAATCACTACACCACTGGTGAGCACTTGAGATCATAATGTTTACCCATCAAAAATCTTTATGCAACATTTTCTACTCTTCCTACTCTTTCGGTAGGAGGTGGACTGTGTGTTGAGAAGGCAGGTGCAAAGTAACAAAATAAAGATACTGTACTTGTCTTTTTACTTTTAGGTTTATAGAAAAACAGCTTCAGTCTCTTCTTTTGACTCTTTGGTGATTTTCAAAATATGTTTGAATCTATAGTGTGCTGTGGCTGATGGGTAGGCAAGGCAGACTAGAAGTGAACTTTGCTTGAAAATTATTTATAAAGCCGCTTCTTTTAAGTAGATTCTAAATATTTTACTACATTTTTATTTTGACTTCAAGTTTTGCTTGAGTATTTTATCTCCTCTTTCCTTCCTTAAAGTGAAATAGGCTATGGAGATCAAGTACTCATTTCAGAACTTGGGGAAGGGCATCCGATATGAAAAAAAGTTAAAAAAAAATAAATAAATAAAAATGCTTGTCCTCTGCTGAACTAAATTGAATCCAAAACATGTCTGCCATATGCACCAATTCTGATTTAAACTCCATCATCTCAGAGAATCCTTGCATTTGAATATAAAACCATTTTTGCAGTATCCATCTACAGTCCCTGACAAAAGTCTTGTCACTTATCCATTTTGTAGAAACAAAAGCTTATAACTTGACTTTAAATTAATCGATTGGTTTTAGAAATGTCTCATATGAAAGCTAAAACCCTCCCAAATTATGCTCAATATACTAAAAAAAAAATTTGCTTCACTGAAAAAAGATTGATCATTTAATGAACACAGAAAGGTCAGATTTTGGCAAGACAAAAGTCTTGTCGCCTTGTCATATGATGCACCCAATCCTAGATTACAGCCTCATCTGTGATCAGTTACTGATCAGTCAGTTAGTGGGTGTGTATAAAAAGAACCCCAGCACACCAGACCTTCACATCAACTGCAACTTGACCTCTGACAACATGTCTAAGGCTACGTTCAGACTGCAGGGCTTAATGCTCAATTCCGATTTTTTTGTGAAATCCGATGTTTTTGCGAGGTTGTTCACATTTCCAATTAAATGCGACTTGTCTGTGACTTCAGTGTGAACGGTAAACGGCCCGAAAGTGTCCCGCATGCGCACTGGAGGACACGATGACGTCAACCCCATGCGTCAACGCAGCGAGCGTGCTCTGTGTTTACGGAAGTTGTCCAAATATGGTCGCGAGCATTGAGCACCTGGCGATTTTACAGTTCCGGTTTCCGCCTGCTTCAGCGCAGAATTGTGACGTTTGTCACTTGTTAATGACGTGTAGGTCGGATGGATGCGCTTTGGCCGTTCAGACTGAAGTCGCATGTGAAAAGATCGGATATGTATCAGATTCAGGACCACATATCCAAGTGGTCTGGGTCGCATTTGAAAAATTCGGATCTGTGCCGTTCAGACTGTCATTAAAAGATCGGATACAGGTCACATAGAAGCCAAAAAATCGGATTTGGGTCACTTCAGGCTGCAGTCTGAATGCAGCCTAAGATCCACCCTGAGACCAAAGCATTAATTATCAAGAGGCTGAAGACCAGATCCACTGCTGAGGTGGCTGACACCTTCAATGTGTCGCAGCGTCAAGTACAAAGAATAAGAAAAAGATCTGAAATGACTGGAGATGTTTTTGACAAGCCCAGGTCCGGCAGACCCCGCAAGACAACTGCTCGGGAGGACCGTTTGTTGATTCAAAAATCCACGGCCAGCCCCTTTTCCACTGCAGCAGACTCCACCAGGCCTGGTCACCTCAAGTCCCTGTGTCAACCTGAACAGTTTGTAGAATTCTGTCTCGAAATGGCCTCCATGGTCGAATCAGTGCACAGAAACCAGCACTAAACAAAAGGCAATTAAAAAACTGTGTGGCATTTGCCAAGGCCCACAGCCTGCTAAAAGGATGGACACTGGAAAAAGTGGCAGAAGGTGGATTTCTCAGATGAATCCTCAGTTGAATTACATCACAGCTGCCACAAATATTGCAGGAGACCTACTGGAGCCTACATGGATCCAAGATTCACCCAGAAAACTGTTAAGTTTGGTGGTGGAAAAATCATGGCCTGGGGTTACATCCAGTATGGGGGTGTGTGAGACATTTGCAGGGTGGAAGGCAATATCAATAGCCTAAAATATCAAGAAGTATTAGCTCCTCTTACATTCCCAACCATAAAAGGGGTCAAATTTTGCAGCAGGATGGTGCTCCATCGCATACTTCTATCTCTACATCAAAGTTTCTCAAGGTGAAGAAGATCAAGGTGCTCCAGGACTGGCCAGCCCAGTCACCAGACATGAACATCATTGAGCATGTCTGGGGTAGAATGAAAGAGGAAGCATGGAAGGCAAAACCAAAGAATCTTGATGAACTCTGGGAGGCATGTAAGACGCTTTCTTTGCTATTCCTGATGACTTCATCAACAAATTGTATGAATCATTGTCGAACTGCATGGATGCAGTCCTTCAAGCTCATGGAAGTCATACAAGATATTAAATATGGATCTCACAGCACCACTACTTAATTCACTGACGTTATGCAACATAGTTTTGTATTTGAAGTAAATTATTTGTTCAATTTTCTGTAGGCGACAAAACTTTTGTCTTGCCAAAATCTGACCTTTCTGTGTTCATTAAATGATCAATCTTTTTTCAGTGAAGCAAATTTATTTTAGTTTATTGAGCATAATTTGGGAGGGTTTTAGCTTTCATATGAGACATTTCTAAAACCAATCGATTAATTTAAAGTCAAGTTATAAGCTTTTGTTTCTACAAAATGGATAAGCAACAAGACTTTTGTCAGGGACTGTATACTTATGGAGTGGTTGTCAACCTTCATAAAGTTTCAGAACTCCTTTATACACACCCCTTTGTCATAACCTCTTGAAAACATCTTGTCCTTGGTGTATTCATCGCACTTACACAATAGTGCCCCTGCAGTCTCTGTCATTCGGCCCGTTGGGAGCCAGTTCTTCTTTATCCTATACAACCTCATTTTGTGTTGTCTCCCTGGGGTGCTGAGCTTATCTTTCCAAATACTCTCTTTTGGCAATAACTCTGCTTGTATCCCCTGAGAAAGAGCCTTGGTCTTGTTCATGCTGTCAGATTTGATCTATCTGCGATCTGTACTGCGCAGTCTTCTGGGCTTTAAAGTACTATATAGTCCACTGCAGTATTGACTCCCCGTGTGAAGAACTGACCTACATTTAGTGTTACTGTATGCGCTTGTTTGAACTATACGATTAGACCAGAGCTGCTGGATGATGTAGAGTAAGTGAGAGATAAAACTGTTCAAAATTTTAATAGGAGAAATCAAACAGCAATAAAATACAACTGATGAAATGATATACTGAGATTAAACCAGAATCAATCAATTACTAAACTATGTCAGGAAAAGTAAGCCAGGTTACCACAACACAACAATAAGTTCTGACTAAATAAGACAGAACTCAGGGGGAACATAGGATTAAACTAGGACTAAACCTGGATCAAACAAGACTAAACCCAACATTAAACAAGACTAAACCAGGGTCAAACAAGATTAAATCAGGGTCAAATAAAACTAAATCAGGATCAAACAAAAGTAAACCAGGATCAAATTAAACCAGGGTCAAACAAGAATAAAGCAGGGTCAAACAAGACAAAACCAAGATCAAACAAGACTAAACCACAGTCAAACAAGATTGAACCAGGCTCAAACAAGACTAAATCAGGATCAAACAAAAGGAAACCAGGATCAAACAAGTGGAAACCAAGGACAAACAAGACTAAACCAAGGTCAAACAAGCCTGAAACTGTGCCAAACAAGACTAAACCCAAAGTCAAACAAGACTAAACCAGGGTCAAACAAGACTAAAATAGGATTAAATAAGACTAAACCAGGATCAAACAAGACTAAAGTAGGGTCAAACAAGACTACACCATGATGAAAAGTTAATACTGCTGCCATAGCAATTAACTATTCAAAACACAACCCATAAGTAGAACAAAACTAGGATCAAACTGGAACTAAACCTATATCTTGTTCTAAACCAAGAATAAACTGTACAAGGTAAAAGTAGGACTATGGCAGAATTACATAAGAAGTAAAACCAGGGTCCAACAGATCCAAACCAGGATCAAACTAGGACTAAGATCAAATCTGACTAATTCACTAAAATAATGAACCTCATTTAGAGCGCCCCCTACCTGCAGTGGAGAGCAGGAGGAATATAACTGTCAGGACATTGAAGGACTGGCGGCTGGTGATAGTCATCTTCTTGTCCTCATGTGTGAAGGAGGGGGGTCCAGGGGCTAGGGGGCGCTGTGGGGTCCTAACTGGACGTGTGCATCTTGTTCTCTCAGTCTCAGTGTGTGTCGAAACTTCCGCTGCAAAGAGAAAATAACAATTTTAAAATTCAATTGCTTTTTACATGGTTCACATAAAAGAGTTTCTTGAAACAAAATGCAAACCAATCTATGAAATTCAGTGTATTATCATAAGAAGACATCAGCAGATCCTATAGCTGGTGGGTGTATTCCAAGTTTCACAGAAGGTTATTCCAGGGAAGAAGACTAAAGGATCAGTTGGGGTAAAGTTTCCTGACTTGCGGCCATGTTAGAACACAGTATAATTTATTTTTTATCTTAAGCCGTTGGCGAATCCAATTTAAATTAATGGCATATTTTGTCTACCATGATGCATTAAAAAAACCTTTCTTATTTTAGTGAACAGGTTTCAGTGTTGTGACTGCAAAAATGCCTTAGGTTTGATTCCAGGGCTGTATTTGTAGATGATAAGTCTAAATACAAATAAAGATGGTTAACAATGCTCAAATGTCCTTTGGTCAAATATATTTAAAGGTGCACTATGTAACTTTTTTGGTGAAATGTTTGACACCTCCTTGTCTCAAGGAGATGCTATTGCTTTGCATGTATATGGTGTTAGACGTGTGTCTTGGTGTGTTTTATTGTCAACTGTATCTTGAAAAATGTTAATTCTTACAGTGAGCGGGGTCAGCTCTCCAAACATCTGACTGAAAACGTGGCCTGGTGGCATTTCCAAGTTGAAGACCATACTGTGGAATGCTATAACATCTCCATGGAGACAAGCAGGTGGTAGACCCTATACCAGAAAAGTACACAGTGCACCTTTAAGAAGAATTATTTGGTCAGGAGTCCTTGATTACCAATGGGTGAACTGATTAAATAAACAATTACTTAATCAATAACGAACATGTAAAAGTGGTATTATCTGTATTTAAAGAACTCCAATATCAGCATTCTACTGGTATTAAATAAATGTGCCTCTTCAGCACAATCTAAAGGTTTTGATCACAAACTGCTGAGAGGCATTTTGATGGTATCATGGGAGTTGTAGTCCCCTACCTGAGCATTGCACAGGGTCTGCTGTGTCAAGCCTCTTCTGTCCCCAAACTAACAGAGATTAATGGTCCCGGGGCAGTGTGCAGAGGTGGCAGCTTTTCACCGTGGCAGTGCTCTGATAGGACATTTAGCAAACTGTCCCATAGGCCATAGTCTAGTTAAGGCGCATGGTAATTGGCTGCAAACTTAAGTATCTCTGGAGTAGTTTTTGCAAAGTTGAACACCTTAAAGTTTAATTGGGCTTTTAAGCTCTTATCTCAAGAAACCACATGTGAAGTCAAGGGGGTTAAGGTTTAGGGGGTCTTAAAACAGAATATCGTAAGAGGTGGTTTGTAGAAGAATGTAGTCCAATTAAGATACTGAAAAGTCTAGAGAACTTCAAATTATACTTCGAGACAAACTATTAAAAGTAATGTAACTTTTTGTTTAGTTTCAAGTTGGTGGTCATGAGTTACCCCAGTATCTGTGAGTCAAAGCCAGTATACATCCTAATCAATGGCATTCACAGTGAGCAGTTTGGATTAATCATTTGAATATTTTGAAATTTCAACTCCAGAAACTCCAGAAACACTTAACATCTAATTTAATCTGGTGTTTAACCTGACTAAAAACCTAATCTCCTCCCACAGACACAATCCATAGAGCTCGTAATCTTAGCAGTGCCAGCGGAACTAAAGGGGAGAGAGAGAGAAAGAAAAATCTAAAATCTACTACCAAAATTCTTGCAGCTATCCCCACTTTTTTTTGGTAACCTAAATACCTAAATTTTCAAAATAGTAGACATCACTGTCATTAACAAACCCACAAAACTAATGGGGAACTAATGTCACTGGTATTTCTCTTGACACAATTCATTTTATAGGAAATAACCAAATTGCTATAGAAACCAGCATGCATTATTTTCATCATTAAAAGTAAGCAAACTTCTCCTACAGCAGAGCTCCTCATTATAGCACAACCTGCGTTACCCCTCGACAACACTTTAGCACTTAGCATCAGAACATACATTACTCAGAACATGTTTTTCTTACGTAATCCCCTCCATATATATTTAGTTTAGCTCTTGAATTAAAGATGCACTGTCATTTTTTCCTGGTGGAGGATACGGCACCTGGATGTCTCTATGGAGATGGTATAGCTTTGAATATTCCATAATACCTTGTTTTTGGTTATAGGTTCATACATGTGCTCACACTTGCTTGTTTTATTACTTTAATGTTACACATTGGAACATTACACACAAAACAATAACATCTCCATGTAAACAAGAAGGTGACAGAGCCTCCACCAGAAAAGTTTCACAGTTTTCTGTTTTAATGTTGTTTCCTCCTCAAAAACATACCCAGAGTTGTGATTTGTTTCATTCACACATGTTTAACACACAAACCCTTTATATTTAGTTAATCTCTCAAACAGAAAACACTCTGTTCCACCTCGTGATGTCATGTGATAATACAGGAAGTGCTCCACTGTGTTTTTAAACTCCATACACCTTCACTGGAAACATTTGGATAATTTAGTCTTGAAATTGCCAATCTCTACTGAACATAAGGCAAAAGTTAACTTGAAAACTATCCCTTCATGACATTACAAGATAGACTAGAGCATTTGTTTTTTGGAGAAGTAAACAGACTAATAATAATGTGTTACTCAAACATGTATAAATGAAACAAAACATAACTCCAGGTATGTTTTTGATTATCATGGTTTAAAGCTCATAAGAAAACATTTTTAGCATAGGAGCTTTAAAGAGGAGTGGACTTCGAGGCATTCTTGTCATGTGGACTTGGCTGGACTTGATATGTTTCTTTTTTTTTCTTTTAATATGTAATCCACCATAGACATTAGCCATTACTGTGACTACCATATGGACAGAGCATGTAGTGGCGCAGTGGTGTGTCTCGGACTTTTAAAGCATTTGAGATCAGACAAGCTGTTCCTCAGGCAGCGGACATCCCAGGAGGCTTGTTAGAGTGGCATTTTAAATCTATTTTCCCACTTTTTCTCGCTCTTTACTCATGGTGGGTGCTTTGGCGTTCTGTCAGCTCCCCGGCAACCAGCACAACAAGGAATTCCAGTTTTTATATCACTCCCACGTCCGACTCGGTAGCTGCTATCTGCTCCTTTGGATGTTAGAGGAACAGAAATTTCAGGTTTTTGGGCTGGTCAATAAACTAAAATGCAAAAGCCGGCATGAATATTTGTAGTTAAACATTTTTTAGGGAATAGATTCTTCTCAATAGTAAAAATATGTGCATAAAATTGATGTCGTGAGATTTTGGTGGTATAGTAAGTACCAGGAGATTAAAAAAAAAAAAAAATAGAAGGCTGGAATTGCCTCAGCCTCAGGCACATTGACAAGTACATTTTAGGAAACTTTTACAGTTCCATCCTTACTACTGCATTAGTACGAAGAACATTAAAGCCACAGTATTTAACTTTACAGCCCAAAAAAACACCCCAGACGAAAATAAAAGCATGATTTTTCCATTTGTTGTTTTATTGCAGTGAAAGACACTTTGAGCGGGCATGTATCTCCACAAACGTGACTCTCATTTGACCCGGTGGAGGGCCTCATCATGCTTGTTTCATCCTGCATCTTCCACAGTATGACATAAATCCTTTTTTAGGGGTGATTTTTAACATCTGCCACATGCTTGAAAGTTACATACTGTATCTTTAAGCATATCTGTCACAAGTTGGACTGGTCCTGCAGGAAAAATCCTCTATAACCAAGAAAGCATTTTTCCCATAGAACAAAAGGTGAACAAACAATATATTTGATTTTGTGGTGATTATTACTCATTTTCAGATCTAAAGCTTTTTTGTAGTTCAAAATCCTTCCCTTGCACAGCTTTCACAAGTACCATAGCCTCTAAATTGTAATTCATCTAGGTCACGACATTTTAGACAAATAATCCATTGAAATATTTAGCTTATAGGAAATCACTGGTTCTGTTTTATAGCTGCATTCAAAAATTTTGTTCAGGGCTAAATGCTCTTCATTACATAACGAAGCACTTATATTTCATAGCGCTACCATATACATGATGTCAGGGTCTCAGTATCACTATCAGTAACAACAAAAATGTATTTATGAAAGCACCATTTACTTTAACACCATTTGTTCACACCTTTTTTGTTAAGTACATCTCTGTTCTTCAGAGAGTCACATTATGGTCGCTGTGTGGCAGTCTGTGAAAGGTCAAAGGTCGTTGTGGTACAGTTGGGCTTGTTAACAGAGTGGAGAGTGTGGAGTGTGACTTTGTTTACAGAGGCTGATGTAGTGAGGCACTACATGTACAGTAAAGATAAGTACACTGGAAACACAAATGATAGTGGAGAGGAGAGAAAGGGCAGCCAGCTTTGAAAAATGGTGTTTACTCAGAAACAATGTTGAGTCGAGCTACTAAATGATTATGTCTAAGATTAAGATAGAATATACTTTAAGAAAAATGGAGCTGTAGTTTATACCACAGGTAGATGAGCCTAAAAGAATATGATAGTAGAAGAATTTAGATTTATAATGCAACTCTAATACAAATACACTTTTTAGTTTATAGGAAAGGTAATCACTTTTGATTCTCAAGTAAAAGTACTCTTATTATATTTCTTCTTTTGTCAGGTATGAAAAGAAACTAAACTTCAGTCTGAATAAATCAGAAAACCAAATGAACCTCATTGGACTGAAAGTACTTTACAATACAAACTTTATTCTAGTAGGAGTATATATGGTGCTGTAAAAGTAACCAAAGAAGTCCAATTTCTTCAAAATGTAGATATAACTTTCACTTGAAAGTTGCCTATTAGTGAGTGAGAAAGGAAACTATGAACAATTCTTTATATAAAGCACTTTGCCTCTCATGTCCCCTTAATGACGAGCTAGTGTGGTTGCCTTCGGCACAGAATGGCTGC